TTTTAAGCCACGGGGTCTGGGACTTGAACTGTGGTTGACTACGTGGAAGTCCAGTGATGTAGCCATTATGCCATCAGCTGGTCCCCATATTATTATTAATTTTTAATTTGACCAGAGAGAGACACCAGAGAGAGATAGAAAGAGAGAGAAAGTGAGAAAGCAATCTACCAGACCCGGGACTCGAACTGTGGTACGCCACGTGGGAGTCTAGTGCCTTAACCATACCGTCTCCTGCTGACCCCTGCCCTCTGGTCCTTTGCCCAGCCTGGTCTAGATGGTGCTGTGGAGTGGGTGGGAACAGAGGGGACACTGGGAAGAACACTGTGGAGATGAAGAGGTTTCTTTTCTTTTTTTTTTTTTTTGAGAGGTTTTTGCTATAGGGCGCGTGCACTTGCCAGAAAGAGAGACAGAGAGACAGAAAGTGAGAAATCACCCCCTAGGAGGGATGGCCACACCACAATCCCTTCTCCTCCATTCTCCTCTCGGGATCTTGGGCACGCACGCACACACGCCCAGCGTGAGTTTAAGTCACCGGGACCGGGACTCAAACCACGGTCGACTACATGAGAGTCCAGCGACATAGCCATTACGCCAACTGCTGGTCTCAAGATGAGGTTTCAAGATTAGGGCTAATGTGACATCGAGGGTCAAACTCATTAAGACAGAACAAAGGGTCTCACCTGCCGACTCTTGAAATAATCACGTAGGAGACAGAATCTGATGCAAAAAACTTCACATTTTATTTTCCGGGACATGTTCACTTGCTGAGTGGAAGGCATGGAGAACAGGAGCTGGTAGGATACAGGCTCTGAACGGCTCCCGCCCACCCCTGCAAAATAATGCCGAGCTCATTATCTGGTAGACTTCTCATTCATTAGAGCTGAAGGTGATTAACCACATGGGGAAGTTTGAAAATTATTCAGAAAAAGGGCTACGGAGGCAAAGCATAAAACTTTCACTAAATCGGTGTAGTGTACACTTAAAACCACACGTTCACAAAAAGAAGTTAGAGAATAAGAAACTAAAATGCACTGTTATTTTGTTCTCTTGCAACCCGAGTGAAATTCAGGTCTCCTTTCCTACCGAGTATAAAAAGACATCCAGGAGGCAGCTCCGCTGCTGCTAGGTTACAGACTCCTAGGTGTTAGGAAGTTCCCTCTGAAGGAGAATGCACTTAGATTTGTAAGTGAGTAGCACGGTTAACATACAACCCACCTTAAAATGAGAAAAGCCGCTTTTGGAAGGCACGGTTTGTTTCCAGCTCAACTGTGGAAATTATTCCGTCGACCCCACCTGGCAAGGAGGGCTTAGTCTGGTGATTCCTCGGTGGCACCGGAGCCGCCACAGCCAGCCCCAGCTCCAGCACCCTTGCGTGTCTCCATGACACGCATGTCTGGTCTAAAGAATGCTTCCCTTTGGATGACAATCGCGTGAAAACATTCTGGAGCTTTCTCAAGTCTTCCTTTGTTCTCTGAAAATGCAAGCAACTTTGCTATTTTATAAAGTAGCGTCGGCAACCGGTCTCTTGTAGGCCTGGGAGTTGGGAGGGAAGATCCGGAAGAAAGAAACAGGAGCCAGCACGTAGCTTAGGGACAGTCCCCCAGCCACGGCCTTAGAATAAGAGGGTCTGGACAAGAACAGGACAGGGGCCAGCAGGTTAAGGTTAAGGTGCTGGATTCCCATGGGGTCGACTATGGTTCAAGTCCTGGGCCCTGTGGCTTGAAATTCACATTTGTGTGTGCATGTGCTCAAAATCCCAAGGAGAATGGAGAAGGGATTGCAGCATGGCCATCCCCCCTGGGGAGAGATTTCCTTCTTTCTGTCTCTGTCTCTCTGTCTCTCTGGCAAGTGCACATGCCAGAAAAAAAAAAAAAAAAAGAATAGGACGAAATATACCAAGGCCCTCTAATGCATCGGAAGGCGACACATTTCTAGAGAAGTGACAGCGACTATTTTGATCTACTTGGGGAAAAAAGAGAAAGTAAAAAAGCCCAGGGTGATGGGCTTCGTCTGCTCCGTAAAAAGCAGGGAAGGCACAGAACGTGAGATGCTGCTCTCCTTCAAGGTGGCCGAGTCGCACCGTGCAGACGGAAGGCTGTGGCCGGTGTCTGACGGTGCCTCTGCAGTCGTGCGTTTGTTCGAAACAGCCTAGGTCTGAGGTACAATGACTCATCCTCATGAGCCTGCTTGATGATGATAAGGAGGAGCCGTTATTCTGACACACATGGGAGAAGGTGTCAGGAGGGAAAAAAAACACACACACGGTGGAAATGCACAGATGGGCTGCTCTGCGTTCTGGTTTCGGGCAGTTTCCACTGGACGCTCCGTCAACTAGTGTCACCTGCACTGGGAATTCCATTTAAGGGGTAGAGCCGTGGCTCAGTGGTTAATGGAGCCAAATCCCACATGGCCAACTGCAGAGTTTGGGTCCCAACCCTTGCGGTTTGAGAAACACACCGGACACGTGTGCATGTGTACCCGCAAAATCTCGAAAGGAAGGAGAGATGGTGGAGAGGGACTGTGGTGTGACTATGGCCCAGGGCAGGTGCTGTCTCTCCATTTCTCTCGGCAAGGGCATGTGTTCTGACAACTTAAAAATGTCTTCTTGGGGGGACCAGCAGGTGGCATGGTGGTTAAGGTGCTGGACACTCCCACATGGCTGACCATGGTTCAAGTCCTGGACCTGGTAGCTTGCTTTTTCACTTTCCCTTTCTCTCTGTGTGTCTCTCTCTCTCTGATCAAATTAAAATAAATGAGTGAATAAACAAATTAAAATTAAAATAAAGTTAATAATTCTTTAAAAAAAAAAGTCTTCTTGGGACCAGCAGATGGCATGGTGGTTAAGGTGCTGGACACTCCCACATGGCCAACCACGGTTCGAGTCCTAGACCTGGTGGCTTTTTTTTCTCACTTTCCCTCTCTCTCTCTCTCTGTGTCTCTCTGGTCGAATTAAAATAAAATGAATGAATAAATAAAATTAAATAAATAATTTAAATAAAGTCTTCTCCTTTTACCAGTTATCAAGAGGATAATGATGCTGACCTCCTCTGATACACGGAAGTTTAATTTGGTTACCTTTAATCAAGTCCTCCACCTGGAACAGACATGATGATGTGGGTCAGAATCCCTGAGGTGGCTGTCGTGTGACCAGTAGTCATAGAAAGTTGTGTGTCCAGGGAGACTGTCAGCATTTTTAAAAAAATTTTTTAGGTGTTTGCCATAGGGGATGCGCACTGACCAGAGAGAGACACAAGAGAGAAAAGTGAGAAAGAGTTGAAGGGAGAAATCCTCCCCTGTAGGGCATGGCCACACCGCAATCTGTTCTACTCCATTCTCCTCTTGGCATTTTGGGCAGGCATGCACATATGCCCAGTGTGGTTTTCAAGCCACTGGGTCCTAGCCTCGACTGTGGGAGGCCCTATGCGAGTCCATTGCTGTAACCACCACACCACTGCTGGCCCGCCAGTACCCTCAGGAAGGCCGTGCAGTATGGGACGGGAACTCTCCCCAAGCGATCGCTACCTAAGCATCAGTGCACGGTTGCAGCACTCCGACCGAGGAGCTTTCCTTGGCTTTCCGGGACTACCGTGTATAGGCTGCAGACTCCGTGGCACTGCTCACACGGGCCGGTGCCATGTTTTAGGTGTAATTTTACAGTTTCTGACCTATCTTATTAAAGCTGTCTTTCTCACCATCATCCAAGCATTTTAGTTTTAAAGAAGACTTTGATGATTTCGTTTGCGTTATTGACACGTCAATCCTACTTTAGGAATTCATTTTAATTCGTGCTTCTGATTCCTTTGGTAAAAATGAAAGGGAAAACAAGCTGAGCTACTTAAAATGGTATCTGAGCTTTCGGTTTTCTTTTGCTTAGTCGAATCCATCTGTACAAAATGGGCCTTCTCCCTGGAACCCCAGTCCCAGAACTGGGGTCAGAGAACTGAGGGAGAGTCAAGTCACCTAGGAAGACGTGCAGGAGTGGCTGGGAGTCCCAGAGACCCGGCTGAGGCCTGGCTGGTGGTGATTCCCAGAGAGCGGAGGGCTTAGGGGAGCAAGACCATTGCAGGTCTGTCTGTGTGATACTCCGCAGGGCCTGCTGGTTGTCAGCCTGGCAGGCCTGGGCTGCAGAGAGCCTGTTTCCAACCACAGTCAGGTTGTCTGTGATGAGGCCAGATGGGAAGGAGGGGCTCAGCCACGGCTCTGCAGGACTCCAGAGGTCACACTGGGCAGTGCAGGCCTGCCCCTCCCCCCAACTAAAACGCAGGTGACTGATGGAGGGCTGGAGGGGAAGAAGTGACATCTGTCAAGGTGACAGCAAATGCCACAGCCTGCGTTTCTGAACCTCTCACTGTCGGGGGGAGGAGAGACTCACAAAGGGTGTGCATGTGTGTGTGTGAGTGATGTCTCTCTTTTTCTTTTTTTGGAGAGGTTTTTGCTATAGGGCGCTCGCCAGGAAGACAGAGACAGAGAGACAGAAAGCGAGAAATCAACCCCCAGGGGCGTGACCACGCCGCAATCCCTTCTCCTCCATTCTTCTCTCGGCATCTTGGGCACGCACGCACACGTGCCTGTCATGAGGTTAAGCCACCGGGTCCGGGACTCAAACCGTGGTCAACTACGTGGGAGTCCAGCGACATAGCCATGATGCCAACTGCTAGTCCCTCTTAAATAAAGGTGCAGGAGAGCTCCTCTCCCCAAGCAACTGGCTCACAGGATCCCTGAACACCTTGACGGACGAGAAGGCCTAGGAATGAGAAATCCAGCCGACAGGGAAACAGATGGCGGTGGTTTCAAAACTAACATTCTGCCCACATCTTCCCAGATGCTCAGAAAGTGAAAACTGCAACCTTTTCTTCTCGTTCCAGCATGGGTGGCAATCAAAGGCCCTGGACACTCAGCGCCTGGCTGCTGTGCTCAGACGGAAATTCGAAGCATTCGGGTCAAAGGACGTAGGGAAGTGTCGGCCCCAAGAGTACAACACGCTCTTCTTCACAACCAAGAACAATTCCTGAAGACCCGCTCTATTAAAATATTTGCAAACACGTTATACATAATAAGTGAAATTTCTCGAGAGTTACAAAAAGGCTCCTGCAGACCTCGTGCCGACGCGGTGGCGACGCTCCTCTGCCTTTAGAGTTGTCGAACTTTTCTTTCTGTGCTTTTGATGTTGATGTCTAACTTGTCCACTTTGGTCGTCAGCCGGTCGAGAATGTCATCTTGCTCCTCGATTTCCGTCTGCATCCCCAGCGCGATGTCCTTCAGACGGCCCAGTCCCACGGACAGCTCATCTGCGGGGAAGGAAGTGACGTTGAGGCCCGAGTCACACGGTCACGCACCTGGGAACGTGTCCTAGTCCCTCCCCAGGGCTCAGCAGTATCTGGTTACTGATCCTCTTCCCCATGAGACAGGCTAACCTCCAGGGCTTTGATTAGATTTTCCAAACTATGTGCACGTGGAGAGAAAACCTGGGTACTAGATAAATATGTACCTGACGGGAAGCCACCCTCTCTGCCCTCAGAGGTTACTGTTATTCTATGATGGAGTTTGTCCTTCCAGTTATTTTTTATTTTTTTATTTATTTTTTCTTTCTTTTCTGCCTTTGGCTTCTTTTTTTTATTTTTATTTTTTTATTTTTTAACATTAATATGCTATATATCATCACAGCATACAAAATGAATTTTTCATCCAAAATACATTGTCTGTTGGCTCAATCAAGTACATCAACATATGTGTTATCAACAATTTTCCATTTCTTATGTCTTGTATATTTTGAGTTTTTTCTCTTTTTTTGCCATCCTTGATTCCCTATCCCTAACCCTCTGCCCTGTCCAACCCTCCTCCCATTGTCTCTGTTATCCCTGTTTGCTTTCTATGCCTATCCCCCCCCATTTAATTGATTTGCTAATGAACTTAATTTGTCTAAATATTTGCAATAGCAAGCACAGCTGATATTTACATACACAAGAACCCATGTCTGACTTTAGGCATAAACCTCAGTGCCAGTTATTTTTAAAATACATGGGGGGGCAGCAGTTGGCGCAATGGCTATGTTGCTGAACTCCCATGTAGTCGACCACGGTTCGAGTCCCAGACCCGGTGGCTTAAAACTCACGCTGGGCGCATGTGCGGGTGTGCCCAAGATCCCAAGAGGAGAATGGAGAAGAAGGGATTGCCTTAATCACTACTCCTCCTGCTAGACCCCTTGTCACCCTCCCTCTCCCACTTTGTTTTAGAGGTTTTTGCCATAGGGTGTCTGCGCTTGACTGAGAGAGAGACAGACAGTGAGAAGGAAAGTGAGAAATCACCCCCCAGGGGGATGGCCATGCCACCACCTCTTCTCAATTCTCCCCCTGGGATCTTAGGCTTGCACACACCTGCACCAGACATGATTTTAGCAATGGGGTCTGGGACTCAAACCGCGGTTGGCTATGTGGGAGTCCAGCAACATAACCATTATATTATCTGCTGGCCCCCTTTGTCAGCCTTCTTACTTGCAAAATCAAATATAAACCTTAAGAAAAAAAAAAAAAAAAAAAACCAGAATCCATGAATGTTTACAAGTCTTACACCCAAATCTCAGCAAAATCTTTGTTTGTTTGTTTTTTTCCATTGCCAGAGGTGTATGTGTTTGCCAGAGACAGACAGAGACAGAGAGGAGGTGGAAGACGCTGCCCGACTGGGGCGTGGTCACGTCACAATCCCGTCTGCATTCCTCCGTCCTGTTGGATTCTGGTACACGTGCACACGTGTCTGTTGTGTTTTCAAGCCACAGGGACGCTGAGTCCAGCTGAGGGCGGCCATGTAGGATATGGTTTCCTTAACCGCTAGGCTACAGAGCCAGCCTTGAGCAAAATTAGCTTTTTGAGTTTTTTTTTTTTTTTTTTTCTTTCTTTTTACAGTTTGCTAGAGGGAACATGTACTCGTGCGGGTGGTGGGGTGGGGAACATCCTCTGGGGGTGGTGGCCGCACTGCAACTCCTTTTCCTCTAATCTTCTCCTGGGATTTTGGGCATGCATGCACAGTGTCCAGTGTGTTTTCAAGCTGTCGGGTCTGAAACTCAGACTGCACAACCGGCCATGTAGGGTCCAGCTGCCTTAACCTCCATGTCATCTACTGGTCCAATTAGTTTTTTTTTTTTTTTTGAGAGGTTTTTGCTATAGGGCGCCTGCGCTTGCCAGAAAGACAGAGAGAGAGACAGAGAAACAGAAAGCAAGAAATCACTCCCTCCAAGAGGGGATAGCCATACCATAATCCCTTCTCCTCCATTTCCTTTTGGGATCTTGGGCATGCGTGCGCATGCATCTGGCGTGAGTTTAAGCCACTGGGTCCGGGACTCGAACTGTAGTTGACTACATGGGAGTCCAACGACATAGCCATTACGCCAACTGCTGGTCCCCGAATTATTATTTTTTTCTTTTAAAAAACAGCCTTCGGGGACCAGTAGGTGGTGTGGTGGTTAAGACACTGGACGCTCCCATGTGGCTGACCACAATTTGAGTCCTGGACCTGGTAGCTTGCTTTCTCACTTTCCCTCTTTCTTTCTCTCTGGTCAAATTAAAATAAATGGATGAATAAATAAATAAATAATTTAGAAAAACCCAAAAAACAGCCTCCTGCAGACCAGCAGTTGGTGTAGTGGCTATGTTGCTAGACTCCCATGTAGCCAACCGCAGTTCGAGTCCTGGATCCAGTGGCTTAAACTCACGCCAGGTGTGTGTGCATGTGTGCGCAAGGTCCCAAGAGGAGAATGGAGGAGAAGGGATTGCAGTACGGCCACCCCCCCTTGGGGGCACTTCTCGCTTTTTGTCTCTCTGTCTCTGTCTTTCTGGTGAGCACACACACCCTATAGCAAAAACTTCTCAAAATGAAAAAACAAAAACAAAAACAGCCTTCAGCTCCATGCCTCCACGACCGTGTGTCTCACAGGGAGCATGTCTGTACAGCTGCCCGGCCTCAAGGAGCACACTGGGATCTGCGACAGCCAAGGGCAGAGAGCCAGGGTGCAGACGTGGGAAGGGCTTGCAGGGTCCCTGGCAGTTGGGATGAGGTTGGAGGGGGAGACGGTGAGCCATGTGCTGCTGCACTGCCCACACTGTCCTGGCCCTCCTCTTCCTCTTCCTCTGTGCTGTGTCGTTATGCAGAGACCGCCTGGGCTACACGTGCTCACGGCCAGCGAGCACCCTCAGCCTCTGGTGGCCCTACTCAGCCTTCTTCATGCCTCGTCCCTGGAATCGGTTATCTTCTCTCGGTCCCTCCTACCCCTCTCCCGCCAGCAGGTACCCGGCCACTCTCTTTCTCCCACTGAAGGACCAAGGGCTGTCGGGCCCTTCTGGAGTTGTCTGGAGCGGTCAGATCTGGGCAGACATACCAGCTGCCTTGGGGAAACCTTGGGCTCCAGAGGGCAGAGTCCAGGGGGAATAAACAAAAGGCGGCTGTCTGGGGCTTCCTGTGCTCTGAGGGCAAAGGGCAGGCAGGGCTTGGGGCAGGAGCCTGCTGGGTGTGGTTATGGAGGAGGTGGCCCCTGTCCTCTACCACCAGTGGGCGGCATCGGCCTCCTTGGTGGGTACTGACCATCAGACTTAAAAAAAAAATTATTTAATTTTACTATTATTATCTTAAAATTTTCTATAGGGCACGTGCACTCACCAGAAGGAGACAGAGAGAAAAGGAAAGTGAGAAAGCAAGCTGCCAGTTCAGGGACTCGAACTGCTGCTGGTCATGTTGGAGTCCAGGGCTTTAATCACCACACCGCCTGCTGGCTCAGATTTTTTTTTTTTAAATGACGCTTTGGTTTTACTGGAGCACACACCTGCCTCAGCCTCCCGAGCAGCTGGGACCAGGGGTGAGCACTGCCACACCCAGCTCTTCCTGCCGGTCTCGCTGTGTTATCTGTGCTAGTTCAGAGTACTTCATCCTCCTGCCTCAGCCCCGAGTCCCTGGGATTACAGGTGCACTCCACCCTGCCTGGCCTGTAGCTTGGACAGGAAAGTGTACCAAATTCAATTGTACCCAGCCATTGCCTCTCTCCCAGGGAAGGACACGGGGCTTTTGAGGCTCTGTAGAATGGTCAGATCTGGATGGAGAGACCTGCTGCCCTGGACAAGTCCTGGGCTCCAGAGGGCAGAGTCCAGAGATAGGAGTCGGAGTACACGCCCTGTGCCCCAGCCTGGGGAGCAGAGTGTCTCAGCAACACGCACTGCCGCCACTGGGCCCTGGGCCTGC